TTCATGATATCAGCATTTTACCATAAACATAGTATATTTCTCCACTTATTGAGGTCAAATTAATGCCTTTCAAAACACTATTATAACTTCCTCCATAAAAGTAATGCATATCTTAGCTCAGACTCAGCCCTTCTAATGTTTGTGGGCCCTACCCCTGGGGTCTCAGGTAAGCTACACGTTAACTTTTACCAAGGTCAGAATGACTTGACCAAACTTCAAAGCATGGGCTCTATTTCTGTCCTGAGCATGCACTGTACATCTGCTTTGTTGACAAATAACCCCCCCCCAAAAAAAAGACAAAAAAGAAGAATCCTCTTGGGTGCGCCTGGGTGGCTCAGTCAGTTGGGTGTCTGACCCTGGATTTCAGCTCAGATCATTATCTGGGGCAGGTGGGGGTGGTCCTGGGATCCAGTCCTGCATCAGGCTCTGCACTCAGCAGGAAGTCTGCTTCTCTCCCCCTCTTTCTCCATCTCCCTCTGCCCATCCCTAGCCCCACTTGTATCCTTTCTTTAAAAAAAAAAAAAAAGAAAAATCTTAAAAACAAAACAAAAGCCCAACAACTCATTTCAAATGTAAGGAATAAGACCTCCCTGAAATCCCATGAGACTGAAGTCATTCAGCCTTACACATAGTCAAAGCTTAAGATAAGGTCTTTAACTTTCTGAAATGTCCTTTGTCCAATGGTTTGTAACTTTTTATGTAAAGAAAAAAAAAAAAAGAATAAAACCCTACATCGAATGCTTCTTCCCTGGAGCACTCTCTTCTTTGTGAAGATCAGGTATCCTGGGCGACTGTCCTCATTTGGGCTCAAATAAATCTTTCAGAGATTCTAAAAGGTTTGTTCATTTTGCAGCAACAATATATTTTATAAATATCTGCTTTTTGCATTTGTATTTTACATAGCGAAGGCAGTATCTTTTTTTTTTTTTAAAGAAGATTTTGACAGAAAAAAAAAGAGTGCACAAGCAGGGTTAGCTACAGAGGGAGAGGGGGAAGCAGAATCTCCACTGAGCAGGGAGCCCCATGCAGAACTTGATTCCAGGACACTGGGATGATGACCTGAGCCAAAGGCAGATGCTTAACCAACTGGGCCACCCAGGCATCCCATATTTATTTGAAAATAAAATCACCTCTACACCCAACATGAGGCTCAAACTTAACCACCCCAAGGTCAAGAATTGCTTGCTCTACCACCTGAGCTCGCTAGGTGTCCCTCTTGCAGCATTTTTTTTTTTTTTTTTAAATTGATTGATTGATTTTACTGAGGGAGAGAGCAGGGGGAGGGGGCATTTGGAGGGGCAGAGGGAGAGGGAGAGAGAGTCTCACACAGACTCTATGCTGATCATGGAGACAACTCAGGGCTTGATCTCGTGACCTTGAGAGCGTGCCCTGAGCCAAACGCTTCATGGACTGCACCACCCAGGTACCCCTCGACTTTCTTAAACCTTATATAATTGGAATCATGCAGTGTGGGCTTCTCTATGTTCTTTCACTACAAACTTCATAATCTTATCATGACTCAGGCGTTCCCTTTGTAATCCCCTTGTCAGTAATCCCTGAAGTCCGGCTTGGCTCTTCGGAGAGGGCATTCTCTAGAAAATCTCCCTAGGCCTATCCCCCTTAGGGGATTTTGTGGCTTAAGGCAATCATAAATCTGAGTTTTTATGAACTTGAAGGTGTGAAGTTATTTAAAGAAATCAGAGTAGAAGCAGCAGCCATCTTCGTGGCTCCAAGATAAAAAAGAAGGAAAACATATCATGAGTGAGAGACCCGGGAGCAAATTGGCCTCTTCCCAGATCCCTGCCTCCAGCAGAATCCCTGTTTCTTTGCCCTGGACCAAGGGGCCTCATAACAGACCCCTAGGCACAACCAGGGCACCTAGATAAATGCGCAGGAGGAGACCCAACCTCACACTCACATCTTGAGACGGAAGCAACTCAGAACTGGAAAGAGGGGTTCATCTACCCGGTGGGGATGTAGAGGCTCAGCGGAACAGAGGGTCTCCTCAGGCTACTCGAACCACAACAGGAACCCACACAGTGGGTCCTTTTCAGTGAATGTTTTTCTACAGCAGGATATCATTATCCAGGGATCCTCTTGCAGCATTTTAAAGATAGGTTCCACTGTCTTCTGGATTCCTGTGGTGCTTTTGAAGTTAGTTTTCCTACTGCCAGTGTTTTCTCCCTCCCTCCCTCTCCGTCTGTCTCAAAATCCTCTGTCTTTAGTATCCTACAGTTTCTTTTTCTTTTCTTTCTTTTTTTTTTTTAAGATTTTATTTATTTAAAAAAAAAGATTTTATTTATTTGACAGACAGAGATCACAAGTAGGCAGAGAGGCAGGCAGAGAGAGAGGGAAGCAGGCTCCCGCTGAGCAGAGAGCCCGATGCGGGGCTTGATCCCAGGACCCTGAGACCATGACCCGAGCCGAAGGCAGCGGCTTAACCCACTGAGCCACCCAGGCGCCCTATCCTACACAGTATGTCTAGGTGTGGATTTATTCATTTTGACCCTGTTTGAGATTTGTTGTGTGTTATGGGTTGAATTGTGTCCCCCCAAAAGGTATGTTAAAGTACCTCTGAAAGTACTTTTTAACTCCCAGTACCTCTGAATGTGATTTTATTTCGAAGTATAATTATCACAGATGTAATTTATGTGGGAAAAAAGGGCATAAAGCTTATTAAATTTCCTCACTATCTCCCCCCATTGGCAAGTCCTTGATACAGAGTGACATTCCTCCAGGGACTCAACTGTCTCAATGTTAATACTTCGCTAAGGGCAAAAGGCAATCATAGCCCAACTGCCCCCCTACCCCACCCCCGTCCTGTAAGACTACTTTAAGTAGGCAGAGGGGGAAGCAGGCCCCCTGCTGAGCAGAGCACCCCATGCAGCTCCATCCCAGGACCCTGAGATCATGACCTGACCAGAAGGCAGAGGCTTTAACCCACTGAGCCACCCAGGCACCCCTGTAAGTCTACTTTAACATATAAAAATTCCTTTAGAAATTTCCTTTAGAAATTTAACTTTAGGGGCGCCTGGGTGGCTCAGTGGGTTAAAGCCTCTGCCTTCAGCTCAGGTCATGATCCCAGAGTCCTGGGATCGAGCCCCGCGTCCGACTCTCTGCTCTGTGGGGAGCCTGCTTCCCTCTCTCTCTGCCTGCCTCTCTGTCTACTTGTGATCTCTTGTCAAATAAATAAATAATATCTTAAAAAAAAAATAGTTGGGAGATTCCTAAAGAGTGTCACATATGTCCCACCCGGGATTGGCGGGCCGGGGGCGGGGGTGGTTGTTGCAAGTTGTCAGCTTTTGCTTTGTCCTCAGCCAGACTTCTGTTCCCTCATCATTCCCTCCTGAACAATTCTGACCCTTAAATCTTTAAGGTTGTTGAAGCTGAAGGTCTCAGCTTCTGTAACATCTTCCTGCTGAACGGGGGTGTAGAGTTGTCCCTACCTACTTGGGTCAACACTGGTCAGGTGGGGAATGTGTCGGGGAGTTATGAAAGACAGAGGCAGCTGAATCCAGGGGAGACTGCTCAGGTGATCTTCCCAGGTGGAAAGGATCATCTGTGGAAGTTATGGCAGTGAAGGAGTTGATGCCAGGTGGGGAGACGTGGGAGAAAACAGCAAAACATAATTAGTGTAGCAAAAAGAAAATGAATCTCAAATAAGTTTTTTGCTAGTTGACAAAAAACCCTTTTCCAATCTGGGAGTTTAATCAATCATTAAAGGAGAGAGGGACTGTTTAAAGTGCTAACTTGAGTGTATCAGAACCCAAGAAATATTTTGTGATAATCTGGAACATAAACATAGCTACTTTGTTTTTGTGATAGCACGACTTGCACCTTGTGTAGCAGTTAAAACATTTGATGCCAATGCCATTCTATTTTGTAAAGCTGCTTTACACATTTGAATTACCATAGCATTTTAATAGAGAAATGCTACTTCAAGGATCAGTTGGGGCTGACCATGTACTTATTAGTAAGAGCTTTCATGTGCCAAATATCCTTCCGTTCCAAAGGGGAAACAAAAGTGAATGTTAGTTGGTCATACCAATGAGACAGAAGGAGTTCACCAGTTTTTAAGGTCTGGAAGGTTGGCCAGGTTGGTAATGGTTTTAATAATGCATTCGTGATTCCAGGCAAAACCCAGAATACAGTGGCCTATCTAGCCTGGGGGAAACCATGAGCACAAGAGTCATATAATCATTGGGTCCCATTAGGAGATAGTCCTCCAATTTTGGGTTTCCGTAGCTGCAGTCAAGATATCAAGGGCTATTCAGTTTTGAAGGGCCATCTTTTAATGTGTCATAAAAGGCAGTCCATTATTACTTCATAGGGACCAAGGGAGTCCAAATCTAAAGACAATTTTCCTTTATGAAGTTTGTCACCTCCATGGCCTTTTTGCCCAAATTGGTGGCCTGATATAAACCCTGTATTACTTTCATTGGTTCCTAAGGTCATATCCTTTGACATCCTTTGAAGTGAATTACAGCTATCTCCTTAGGTAGATGTACAGCCTTAAGAGTAATAATTTTAGGGCTGTATTTGATTGTGGAGTTGTGGCTTGAGAATAATCTGCTTTTTTCCAAATTGCTCCATGGACATGTAGGATTAGGAAAGCATATTTGGAGTCAGTATTAGTATTAATTTTTAAGGCTTAGCAATTGCAAAGTGTTAGTGAGCACTATGGCCTATCCAGCTTTTCTTATTCTTTTCATGAGAACTATTGTCATCAGTAAACCAACTGTCTTTTTTTTTTTTTAAGATTTTATTTATTTGAAAGAGATATCGAGATCACAAGTAGGCAGAGAGGCAGGCAGAGGGGGAGGGAGAAGCAGGCTCCCTGCTGAGCAAGGAGCCCAATGTGGGGCTCCCAGGACTCTGGGATCGTGACCTGAGCCGAAGGCAGAGACTTTAACCCACTGAGCCACCCAGGTGCCCCTGTCATTTGTATTTTTAACAGGGGCATCTTAAATCTGGCCAACTAGATTAAGCAACATCAATAACCTCTGAACAGTTTTTGCTCTATAAAGAGGTACAATGGTCAGGTTCAGGCATATGGGTAACTAGGTTTAAAGTTTGACAGGTTTTAAGTATTATTTCTGGCATATCTGTAAGTGCAGCCCAGTACTTAGTAAGTTGGCCTCCATCATCCATTGCCACTTCCAGTCGGCGCACGGGAGAAGAATTAGGCACAAACAAGTCAGCTGCAAGAGAAAGGGAGCAGGGGACAATAGTCAAAAAGACTGCTGCCCGAGCAACTGCTCAGTCTCACTTTTATTAGACAGAAACAATAACCAACAGAAGAGCCGATGAAGGTCAAACATTAGTCATATGTCTTGTAGACGAACAAGGAGGGCAAAATTTATAGTTAAACAAGCACATTCAAAGGACTCATCTAACAAGCAACAGGTGCTTTTGGGAGGAGAGAGGGGAAATAACAGAAAAGGGAAGCAGGTGGCGTTCTGCCCTGAGCCAGCTGGGCATCCCCAGTTGCTCAGCTTCAAGGCCTTATATCGTCCTCTCCCCCAAAGGCCTGTTGCCAGTATGTGTTTTTCTTAAAGCTATATCTAAATGTGCTTGGTAACTAGTAAAATCTTCCAGGGGTTCTATTTTAAGTAATACATTGTTCTGAAGGGCAGTTGCAATCCATTAGTGGCCTTTGGTTTCTGAGACAAATCTGGATCTGATGTGACATGATTATAGTCAGGGACTGTCCCATAGTGAGCTTTGAGGCTCCTTTTATGAGGAGGACTGTTCTATGCTTAGCTAACGCATTTGTTTGCAACTATACCTCAATAGATGTGGCTTCTAGGATAAATATGACTAAGGGATGAAACCATTAAGAAGCGCTTTGAGTGGTCCAGCCTTAACAATATCCTAATTACAAAGGATCACTGGCAAGTGGGAGAAAACTTGTCAAGAGATGAGGGGAGTCCCACATGCATCATCCAATCTAATCATATAGAAAGTGGGGTCATCCATTATCTCCATAAGTCCATAGTTAATCCTATGGAGTGGGGTATGCTGGCTTTTAGGCAGTTATCCTAGCCCCACAGAATTGGTCAACATGATAGTAGAGTTATACAATTGTTGGGGAATCAATCCCATTTTTCAGCTGTTTAATAATCATGTGCCATGGGGTTCTGTTATTATCCCCACAGAACAATCAGCAGAAGATTGTCTATATATGAGTTACTGTGGTAATTTCTCTTAAGTTTACCTCTAGTTGTCTAGCTTAGGTAAACAACAAACATTTAAAGACAACCAAATCTAGAACATCCACAAAGTTGTGTTATTAAAACATGTTTCTCTCTAAAATAACCCTCATTTCCAAAGATAGCCAAATTAGGACTAATTTATCTGGAAAAAAAAGTCCAGCTTAAACAAATTTGGCCCAATTGTTTCCATAAGCTCTGCAAGAACAGTGAGTGATCATATAGATCTTTTATAATCTGCTTTGCTGGAACTTCTTATAAAGAATCTCTAGGTTGAACTTTTAGTAGCCTCTACAGGCCAGAAGCCAAGCCAAGTCCTTGCCATCAGACATGCCTGCAATACCTGTGGATGTGGGCAAATTCCTCTTCCTGAGGTCCCCAAAGTATCCTGAGGTTCCTGCACCTGCCAGGAAGTGACATTCTTTACTCACCTGGTGAGGCTGCTGGGAACTCTGTAAGCGAGGTATCAGGCCAACAGTTCCAAGGGGCTTTATGGCTCCAGGTTTTCTGAAGTCAACCTTAGTTCCTTAAAGTTGTCAGTCATATCTGAGTCTACATGTCTTTCTCAAATATGACATGCCAGTCAAAGCCTTGGTAAAATAACCAGTGTTTCCAATGGTGTCCTGTTAGGAGGAGAACAGATTCTTATTGCACTTATGCAAATGACTGATTGCTATGGAAGAATACTTACTGAGACCCTTTGAGTTTCAGAGGGTTCAGATAGAAAAGTTGAATGCTTTGATTTGTTTACAAGTCAAATGAGTATTTTTACATTTCTGTAAGTCACTGATAACCTAAGTACAATTTTTCTTAGTCTGGAAGAGTAAACATTAGAAAATTAGCAATGTCTAAAATAAGAGACATAACACTATAATCTTACAGTTCGGTTAGTCCCATGTTACTAATTCTGGTTTAGTTTGAAAGCAGCTTTATTTAGTTCTGGAAATTCTTACCCATTTCAGTTCTGATCTTAAAGATACTGAATACCTGTGTTGTCCTCAAAGTCCTTTTTATGAATTTCCTTTAAGATAAAACTCATTTTACAAGAGACTTAGAACAATTATAAATGACAAAAAGACTCAGAAATGGACATTGTTAATGATCTGATTTGAGTTCACTATGATACTGTAGACAAGGAAACTCAAATTATCCTGGGATCCATTGACACATTAACACTTCAATAATTACAATATCAAATGATGATCTATCAAAACATTAAAACTTGGGGTGCCTGGGTGGCTCAGTGGGTTAAAGCCTCTGCCTTCAGCTCGGGTCATGATCCCAGGGTCCTGGGATGGAGCCCTGCATCAGGCTCTCTGCTCAGCAGGGAGCCTGCTTCCCTTCCCCTCTCTCTGCCTGCCTCTCTGCCTACTTGTGATCCGTCTGTCAAATAAATAAATAAAATATTAAAAACAAAAAAACAAAAGCACCATTAAAACTTTAGGAAATGCATAGAATCTCTAGAATAGTTATAGCCTTTACCCAAATGTAACCCAAGGTTTATCATTTTTTTTTTAGCAGAACTCCCTGAGTAACTTAGCATACGAAGAAAAAGCATAATGAGTTAAAGAGATTTCATTTATAATTTAAATCTTGTCAACATTTGCTAAAATCTTATAAAGGTTTTTAAAAAAGATTTTATTTATTTATTTTACAGAGAGAGATCACAAGTAGGCAGAGAGGCGGGCAGAGAGAAGGGTAAGCAGGCTCCATGCTGAGCAGGGAGCCTGATGTGGGGTTTGAACCCAGGAACCTGAGATCATGACCTGAGCCAAAGGCAGAGGCTTAACCCACTGAACCACCCAGGTGCCCCAAATCTTACAAAGTTTTAAAGCACATGACTAAATATAATTAGGGATGTTAAAGACCTGATATAGGCAAAATGTGGAAAATGGTTTTTCTGGACAGGAAAAGAGGAAACTGTACATTTTCTTGCTGAAAGATGATTAATTTAAGAAAACTGTCTTTTTGAACAGAGAGAATTTCAATCTCATACCAAGCCACTTTAAAACCCATTTGTTTTAATCTTAGTCTGTCTTAACCACACCAAAGATTCCTTTTCTGAAGATTTTCCTTCACAAACCATCTAACTTTCCTTTGGATTCAGATTGTGTCCCAAGCCATTTCTTTCCAAACGACCGTCTCATTTAGTAGGACAAAATTACCTTTTATCTTTAACAAAATGTGTTCCCATTCCTTATCTTTCTTACCTATCTACTTTTCCACATAGAGTTGTTTCCCTTATTTCCATTAGTCTTAGTTACAGTTAGAATTTTGTATTCTTAGAATACCTTAGTCTCTAGTCAGTTATTTGTGGAGGCCAAGAAAAACAAGGCTGTACCCACCTCGAGTCCAGCCCTGATGTAAGTACAGCCATCTTGACAAAGCAAGAGCTGGCACCTTGCACCCCCTCTGCACCCACTCCCCTCAGTAATATGTGTGACATTCCTCAGGCACCCCTGGCTGCCCTAAAAGAAAAACAAATAATTAACTTGCTGAAATCACAATCCTGCAAGACAGGAGTCTCCTTCAGTTTGCAAATGTCCCAGTGCTAAATCTCACTAATAAGGACGCTTGATAGGAGGAATGTGACATTCCACCAGGAAACTCCCAACTGTCTTCATGTCAGTGCCTCATTAGAGGGAAAAATGGCCTTGGCTTGATAATAACCAGGCCTCCAATATCCTGACAGTCTTCTTTACCCTGATAGCCCTTCTGAACACCCCCTTTGTCCTCACCCACCCCTGAGTCCACCCCTACTCTGCCTTTAAAAACTCTGACTGTAGTCTGGATCAGGGTCCAAGTCCCTACTCCGCTGTGTTGGATATACTTGGGCCCAAGCTTAAGCTTGCTGAATAAACCCTCGTGTGTTTACATTGGTGTTGGCTCCTTGGTGGTCTCTCAGATGCGAAAACTCGGGCATAACATATTAATCAATTGGAAACTGTTACAACAGAATTCTTTAGATGGCAAATTTGTGAATCAGTTAAGCACAAAACATGTTTACCAACAGATTTAAATATTCTTAGCTTCTTTGCAGTTAGTCAAAAGTACAAACCTATGTCCAGTGATCAGTGACTAAGCATTTAATCCTATTTGAAAGACCTAGATGTCCAATGAATTTAACTCATCATCCAAGCAAAACTTTAAACTTTCAGGTTACCAAAGACTTTGAAAGCTATCTCAATAATTACCCATGAAAACTTTGAGAAAGATAATGAACCACCAGTTTAGTCATCTTTTTGGGAACAACCCGACAGAGTTAACACGAGGTTATTTGACCTTCAGTAAACCTTGATAGAATAAAAGCTTCACATTTACTGCTCTAACTTCAAAGACATGTCTATCTTAATTAAACCAACAAACTTAACTTAGTTCAAATACTGATTTATGTTCCACCTGGGCCCACTCCATTTTTAGTATTTACCTGAGACACAGGCAGGGAAATCTGGGAGTGGGGGGTCTTGGGTCCAAGGGCTGCTCTTCTTGCTCCTTGACAGTGAAGAGAGAAGGAGCCACGGTGCATGGTCTAGAGGCCAGTCATGCAGGCCACAGCCACATTGGTGCAGAGAAAAGAGAAGGGGTAGACAGAAGAAACGAAGTGCTGCCAGAAGGCAGAGAAAGGAATTCCCGGTTTTAGAGCTCATCAGCTCCAACAGAGGAGCAGACGCCATGTTTTCCTGCCAAGGGAGGAGGGGTCAGGCCATCCAAGTCGGGCAAGAGAAAACAGGTATTTGCCCGAAACAAAGGGAGTTTTCGCAGCTGCTTGGGAATATTCCTTAAAGTCTCCGTCTCGAGTTAGACTAACCCCAGTTGGCTCCAGGTATAGCCATTAACGCGGGAAATTGATTCAGTTCTAGAATATAGGTGAGGTCTGGAGCCGATGACCAAGAAAGAATTCTTGAGACATCTTTGGTGCAAAATGGTGGTTTATTAAAGCACGGGGACAGGACCCGTGGGCAGGAAGAGATGCTTCCCTGGGGATGTGAAGAGTGGTCTATTATATACTTGTAAGTTGGGAGGGGGTTAGGGATGGCCCAAGTCTCTAAGAAATTTTGGAAGCAAGATTTCTAGGACCTTGAGGGGCTAGCTATTGTTTGGGGAAAATGTTATTTATTACCAGTAATAAAACCTTCTCATGAGCCCCTTTAGATGTCTATCAGTGGGCCATATGCTTGGGAATGTTTGTCAACACTATCCTGGAGGTTTAGAGATAAAGTTTCCAAAGGAATTGTTAAAGTAGACTTATAGGATCCTGGTTGGGGGTAGGGGTTAGGCAGGCTAGGATTGCCCTTTGCCCTTAGCAAAGCCTTAAGTTAAGGTGGGGGTAGTTGAGTCCCTAGAGGGATGTCACTCTGCCTGTTTTAAGGGCTTGTCAGTAGGTAAGGAAATTTAATAATTTTTCTTCTGCCTCTGTTTCCCACATCAAAATGAGTGAGGGAGAAGCCCCCACATCTATTAGGAGGAACAGAGAGAAAGTCAGAGTCCCCTTTGCTAGGGATGGACTGTGCATCCTCCAGCAACCTGGGTTTACCAGGAGGTGGCTTACTTAGATAATTATCATCCAATGTGTCAGGAGGGAGTTTAGTGGCTGACTCATTTGGGCGAACACATTCTGCAAAAGTCCCCTAGGTCAGGGTCCTGGTGCAGAGCAATGAAAGCCTAGGATACCTTTACTGCTCAAAGCCTAGGTCCATTTGCCCTGTTTCCTGCAGAGGAGATCTAACTGACAGATCCCACTGAGACCATGCAGTGTTACAGGAGCTCAGTCCTTTCCTAAGTTTTGCAATCCAAATTATTTCCAGTGGGTTAAAAGGCACCCTAAGGCAGAGTCCTTGGGAACTGAAGAAGCCTACTGAGGCCATGCTCCCAGGAAAGTAAAGAAGATCCATTACCAAATCCCCCCTGACTCCTGGGTGGTGTCCCATGCAGGATTATGTCAGAGGTTCCTCTGTGTTAAAAGTGACTGGAGGCGTCCCTCAACAGGACATCACTATTGATCATGATCCTGCCTTTCCCAGGAAGGTATTCCTGCCATAAAAGGCCCTGGAGGGGTGCCGGCACCCCTACCCTTCCCCATCGCATCCTAGGCTGCTGATGGGTGCCTGGTGAATGGACCAAAATACTGTGCCATGCCATGCCATCGTCTGTCCTGAAGCCTGCCTACTGTTTTGCCATTTTAACCCATGGAAAATACAAGTTTTACAAGGGTAAATTACCAAATTTCATAGCTTTAAGTAGTTAGTAAAGAACACTGACAAGAAACAGTAAGACTGAAATCCATCATGGTCTATGCAACATTTCCAACACATGTGGTCCTCACAACCAAATTCCCTGAGAAATCGTCCCAGTTGCATTTTAATTCAATCGGGTACTGGTTTTGGCCAGCTCCCAGTGGAGGTTCCGTGGCCAGAAGTGGCTAGACCAGGGATGTGGAGGGGATCACATTAGATCAATCAGGAGGAAACCT